TATATATATATATATATATATATATATATATATATATATATATATATATATATATATATATATATATATATATCAAAGCTATCTATCTATGCATATTATCTGATGAAAATTTGAATTTGAAATCACGTTTGGCTGAATTAGAAGTTAAAGTACTCTCTGAGGATCTATCGAATAATACAATCGGCTTCAAAGAAAGCATTGATGATGTTGTCATTAATGAGGTTAACCTTCCTAGTAGCAGTGCCACCAGCATTCCTTTAGATTCCATTTCCAAAATTGCCTCCCCCAATGAAGTTAACCATGCTCAAAATATTTTGGAATCAGAGCCTACACCTATATCGAGACCTGCCAACCAAGTTGATGTCGCATCACAGGTTTGTCTAGACATTATAGGTGATAATTCCAACTATTTGTCGAACTGTCGCTGTTCGTGTGGCGTTCTAGCTGCTGATGTTGAGGGAGTTAAATTAGGTATTACTACTCTATCTAACAGAATCGATTCGATTGCAAATGCTAATACCGAATATTCGCATAAAGATAAAGAAATTGATCATCTTCGGAGTGAACTTTCAATTGAGAAGGCGAGATCTGAAAAGCTTGAATCTGAGTTGAGTTTATTTGTGAAAGAACGATCCCTTGAAATTGAAAAGTTGAATCTGACCATTGTTTCCCTAAAGAATAAAAATGCATCTACATTTGCTGCTCCGATGAACAATAACAATAAGATTAATAAAAACACTCTTATGAACAAAAACAACAGAAATGGACACCGAAACAATGGTCATCATAACAACAATGAGTTAAATTAAATCAATGCAAATCTCAAAACGTCAGTTTACAACCTTTCATCCCTGCTCCTGTAAATAATAGGGACATTGAAAGTGTGCCGTTTCATGATACTAATAGTGACTTACAAAACAAGGCACTACAAATCAATCAAATTGCAAATATGCCCGAAAAGCAACCTATATCGGATTGGATTGGTTCTTTACCGTTAATAGATATACCCATCCAAGCGAAAAATAACCAATATATTAATGGAAATTCCTCGAACAAGCCTCCTTTTCCCAAGCGCCATGGAATGAAACCACCACTCTATCGAACGGGCCATCGCCACCAATCCCTCGAATGCCTGAGCCATTTGAACTTTGTACACCAACTGTGCAAGAGGTAGGAAATGTGACAACTATTCCTACACGAATTACTGCACGGAATTACTAAAATCACCATAGAGCTTGTGGCTCTAACATACTAAATCTGAAAAATATTGTCGTACACAAACCTAATGTCTGTATTACAAAGTCCTCAAAGTCACATTTACCTAATTTCTGCTGTATTAATGCCAGATCGCTGCTTCCAAAAATAGATGAACTCACCCTGTTTTTAAGTTGTCGCCAACCCAGTGTAGTGGCGGTCACTCAATCGTGGTTGAACAGTGACATCGAGGATGGACTCGTTTCGATAAACGGATATAACATTTTTCGTAAAGACCGATCTAGCCGTCGTGGAGGAGGAATTTGTGTTTATCTACCACAGGGCACCTATGCCAAACGTAGGTTGGACTTGGAACATGAAAATTTAGAATATCTGTGGCTGTGGCTTCGCCCTACCCGCCTTCCCAGACCGCTCTCTGGTATTGCAGTGTGCATATAGTCTATCACCCCTCTGGTTTACCTGTAGAAAACCACCGCCAACTTAATGAATACTTAGTTTTAACAATAGATTCATTACGCAACCAACATCCCAACTGTTGTCTAGTCCTTCTTGGTGATTTTAACGATTTCGATATATCGGATATATTATCAAGCCATAACCTGAAGCAAGTTGTCAAAGTCCTTACAAGAGGAACAGCCATTTTGGATCTGATAATTACGAACCAACCAAACCTGTATAAACCTCCCCAAGTTTTAGCGCCTGTAGGGTCCTCAGACCATAATATTGTAACATGGTCACCCAGTCTAGAGAATACCAATTCTCAAGAACGTACGAAATCTGTCAAACGTCGCATCCGGCGCTATCCAAGGTCTGGGGTTGAAGCTTTGGGGAGATGGATCGCTACACATGTCTGGTTTGGCGAGTTTGGGACTAATCAAACGGTAGACGATATAACATCATCATTCTCATCGCACCTTACAGAAGCCATTAATCGTATATTCCCTCCTATAACTGTGAAGTGGCATCAAACCGATAAACCTTGGATAACCCCAAGTATTAAAAAACTGATTAAAGACCGACAGAAAGCATTCCATAACCATAATATCCCCCTATGGAAATCTTTAAGATATAAAGTCCAAGAGGAGATTAAGCAAAGAAAGAAATCATTTTATAAAAACAAAGTTCAGCATTTAAAAACAGTGATAGTCGTAAGTGGTGGAAAATCATTAACAAAATGTCTGGCAAACCGGAAACAACAAAGTCTTTCACCTTAGAACGCGATGGTGAAATCCTAAACAATTTACAAGCTTCCAATGCCCTTAACGAATTCTATACTTCCGTTAACGCTGATATTCCGCCATTAGATGTGAACTTATTACCACCGTTTTTGCCATCAAATGAAAGCGTACCTGCAGTTGAATGTTACCAAGTCTGTAAGAAACTCCAAACTGTCCATTCTTTTAAAGCCCCCGGACCTGACAATATTTCACCTCGAATTTTAAAGGAGTATGCTCACGTGCTAGCTGAGCCGATCACCATTATTTTTAATACATCCCTTGCTTCAGGAGTTGTGCCGAGTAGTTGGAATGAATCGAACATAGTCCCAATCCCTTAAACATGTAAACCGATTGCTGAAGCCGACACTAGGCCTATATCACTAACATCGTGCTTGTCTAAAGTTTTAGAGGATTTCGTAGTATCTTGGCTGATTGAGGATGTAAAAGAAAAAATCGACCCCAGCCAATTTGGTTGCCTGAAAGGGACATCCACCACTTTTTGCCTTCTGGATATGGTACATACTTGGCTTTCCCACCTTGACGGACTCGGTAATCATCTGCGTATTTGTTTCCTAGACTTCTCCAAGGCCTTCGACCGCATTTGTTATAATCTATTAATTGAGAAACTGATAAATTTGGGTGCTAGACGCTCATTAATCCTTTGGATCATCAACTTCCTCTCAAATCGAAGGCAGCGTGTTAAATTTGACGGAGCAACCTCCGACTGGCTTCCAGTGAATGCAGGTGTTCCTCAGGGGACAAAACTAGGTCCAATCTTGTTCCTAGTAATGGTCAATAATTTGCGAATCACTTCTCCCGACACTAGAATGTGGAAATACGTAGACGACGTTTCAACCTCTGAGAGTCTTAGCAGAAATTTCACCTCTATCACTCAATCAACCCTTAATTCAGTTCAGTTGTGGGCTTCCGATAATTGGATGAAACTTAATATCAAAAAATGCAAAGAGATTCGTGTTAGTTTCCTTGGAGAAACCCCCCAATTAATGCCTCTGTTAATCGATGGACACCCAATTGAGACAGTGCGTTCACATAAAGTACTGGGACTTACGATCCAAAACAACCTGAAATGGGATGAACATATCCATGAAATAGTCTCGAAGGCATCCAAACGATTGCATATCCTCCGGGTGTTGCGCCGAAGTGGTATTCCTCCTGCAGACCTTCTGACTGCGTATATTGCGTTAATACGCTCAATCCTTGAATACTCTTGTGAAGTTTGGCACAACTCTACCTCGTGCTATTTATCTGACAAACTTGAAAAAATCCAAAAGCGAGCCTTGCGTATTGTATACCCTGAACAAACTTACAAAGGCGCGTTGCTGTCGGCTGGTATCACCAAATTGGAGACTAGACGTGAAGATCTATGTTTGAAGACACTGACGAAGATAACCAGAGGTGGTCCGCTTACACAACACGTGACACAGACTAGATCGAACGAGCATAATTATTTTATTAGATCATTAAATAATTTATCAACTTATAAATGTCGAACCGATTAAAAATAGCTAAATATTTAAAAATAGCTTTTTCCCAAATACAATTAATATCGCTAATAGTAAATAGTGACTGGTGAGACTTGATTTTAACTTTCTTCTAACAACCATTGTAAATAGTCTTATATTATTATAGTATTTTAATGTAAGCACTTCGTACTTCACTTTATGTGCGAATTTGTGCTATTAAACATCATCTTATCTTATCTTAATTAATTATAATATGCCTGAATTACAAATCTTTAAACATATATATATATATATATATATATATATATATATATATATATATATATATATATATATATATATATATATATATATATATATATATATATATACTGCCATGTTAGGTTTTGGGTAAATATCAAGATTTTGTTGGCATCTAACTCAATTGAATAACAGTTGAAAGGTCTTGTCGATGGAAATTGTTGAGTAAAAATTTATATTCATTTATTAGACCTAACCAGCTACAGCTGCGAAAAATGTAACTATAGGGCCCTGGCAGGAATCGAACCAGTGGTCGTGCGACTCCATGCAGTGCAGCGATCCAACTAACTGATCTACAGAGTCCACTTGCCGATATATATATATATATATATATATATATATATATATATATATATATATATATATATATATATATATATATATATATATATATATATATATATATATATATATATATATATATATATATATATATATATATATATATATATATATATATATATATATATATATATATATATATATATATATATATATATATATATATACACTATATATGCGAAGCGAAAGAAGCGAGAAGGAAGAGCCCTTGCTCACGCTGGATACAAATCCCACTTCAGCACTTCATAGGTTCAAAACTTAAATCTCGTATGTGATTGGCCATTTGTAAAAATATGTCAAACCAGTGTGGGAAATAAACATTAATGTAAGATAATCAGCATCGCTGGTCTAATAAGAGACTTGTACAATTTTGATAAAGTTTCTCTATCTAACTTAAACTTAAAACTTTTTAAAAGATTAAGAGGACTAAGAGGGCTTGTCAGTAAATATCAAACAAGTCTGGTTAACCTTCAAATATCATTTTAGCTCATATTTCCAGGAATGATAGCCCTAAGTATCCCAAGAATTGCTGTGTAGTTAGTTGATCAAATATATTGCATTTTAGAGAAGAAATTCGCATTTTTTCGAAGACGGTTGGAAATGCTATTTTTAGCCCAACAATTGACTGCACTTTAGCGGCTTCAACCCAGGAAAATACTTGATTCTATGCACCTAAAACTACCTCAGTCTACTACTAGTGCAATTCTTACTCGGCAGATTGTGCGACTTTGGAGTCAATAGAACAATTCTGACCTTTGAAATTAATCCTATTCGCAAGACAGGTAAAACGAGTCGATAAAAGTATGTTTTACAAAAATTCATATTGTGAATGTGCTTAAGCTTTGAATGTCTTGAAACGTTGCTAATCTCAAGTCTAAATAATGTTCATTCGAATGATATAAAGATTACTTTGGGCAAATGATTGTGCGTTACGCTATTGCTTCCCAAAGTTGTTCATATTGCCCACCTTTGACCCGTGCCGTTACTTTACACAAGACAGAATCCATGTGTTTATCGCATAAACAAAAGAGTATCAACTGATATGTGGAAATATCTGACAACTTTCTTTTATTTTGAAAAGTAATTAAATTAGGTAGCGGAGAATCGTTATTTTCCAATCTACACTGTGTGCTAAAATATTCATTAAAAATTTCAGCTTTCTCTCTTGCGTCAATTATTAAGCGATCATTTTCAATTAATGTAGGGATTCATGCAGATTGTATTTTATTACCATAGAGTGATTTCACTAACCCCCACCACTTTTTCGGTCCAATATTTGGATTCTGTAATTCTACATTAAAATTTGCAAAGTATCTTTCCTTGCTTGAACGTTTTAACGATGTTGTATAATTTCTTTGCAATCTGTAATTTTCCCATGCCACTAAATTTTTCCCGTGCGCTGTTATACGAATTGGTTCGTTTATCACTTGAAAAAGGCTATTGCACTCCATCCACTTATAAAAATTTATTCCGAAGTCACTACTAGACTGAATGTCGTTTACGTCAAAATGAGCATTAAAATCCCCAAGAAGTAAAACAAAAGTGCCGGGTCTAGCATTTATACTATCTACACGAAGTTGTAAATGATCGAATTATTATTTGATGGTCGATAACAAACACCACAAACAAATGTTAAAGAATTGACTTTGATTTCAACAAACAATAATTCAAAATCATCGTGTTCTAAATCATTACGCCTTATAGAAGCAAACTAGAAGAAACATACAATGCGACACCCCCCGCTCTCCTACCATCTTTTCTGTCCAATCTAAACATTGGACTAAAGCCTGGTACACATAATAAATCACCAGAAACACTCTGATTTAACCATGCAAGTTTTCAGAAACAGCAAAAATTTCTAGTTTGTGTTCGATAACAAGAGACGAAATCTCATCAAATTTGTCTTCGACATTCAAACTTCTTAGCATTAATATGGCCTATATTTAATGTTAAATTACGTGCACCGGGGTTAATTTCAACATCTCATGCAGGCAATAGAATTAACAAAACTAGATAAGCTAAGTGGCATACCGCCACCTTATCTTCAATGCATAAAAATTGACTAATAAGAGTCCAAATAGCTGCTCTATGTATTATCAAACTAGGCTCCATTGGGATTAAAATACCAATATAAACTTACCTCGGGCTGCTCAACATAGTTAAACAATTAGATGCAAGAAGAATAAACACAATAAAGGACAAAGTAATAGAAAAAGCACTCATAACTAACAAAGTATAATGAAATTGAGTAAAAGGTGAGGAAGGAGATTATCGAGCATGAATATGTACTGAAGTCCTCTTTTCGCTTAATAATAGAAATTGTACCATCATATTTTCTTTTAACAAAGATATGACCATCAGAGGTTTAGACCGAAGCTGTATCACGGCACTTTTCTTTTGCATACATCAACAATTGCTGGTTGATTTTTGTTAAATCTTCATTCACATACAAAGATTTCTCCTGCAGCCTACGCTTGTTTTTTAATATTGATAGCTTGCTGTGAAAGCTTTTAAGCTTGATAATAATAGCACGAGGACAACCATCGTCGTGCTGGGCTTTACCGATTCGGTGAGCACGATCAATTTCCTTTCGCTCGTTTGCCATTCCCAACTCGCGATCACAAAATTTCACAACTTCATCGTAGCAGTCCTCTGTTTCTTTCTCGATAATACCACAGAAAAATAGCTTGTTTCGGCGAGAGTATTGCTCATTTTCATTCGCTTTAGCATCGACTTCACCCAACTTTCAATACTTCACGTTTTAAGCGAGTATTCGTGTCCTCGAGCGCTTTCATTCTAACATCGATTAGTTCAACGAATTCGTTCTTCAAACACTTGATAGCCGCTTCGACTGCGACATTAATTGCTGTAGAAAGAACTGCTCTAAAATCATCTGATTTCATAAAAGATTCTATATTTTGATCAAGATTGACATGACACACTTCGCCTTCGACTTTCGAGCGAGTCTTTGACATGATATCAAAACGTAATAAATTATCAGCAATCAATTTCAGAGGACTTCACATAAATTCAAAGTAGCTCCACAACCTTTCACTCAAAGGTTACATATAAATTTTAAATATATCAGTATTTGTAAACTCAAAATCGCGATGCTCGCTCCTTGCCTGTTGCTGATGATCTCTTTAAAAAAAACATTTACATCTTCGTAGTGTGTTACTGGCCACTGCTTTTATATGTCTTTAGACGTCAATGATTGTTCTCCTGTCAATTGACCACTGTCATACAAACTCAACCTGCACTAACAATGATGGATATTTCTTTTGCACTTGTAAGAGTGAATATACTAGGAAAGGAACTGATTGCGAAGGTATATACAGTAGAACCGGTATTGATGATCTTGCAATTCATTGCAGTTGGAAGGGCATAATCTCAGTGGTAAAGTCCTGGAATGTTAACAAAGGAGGCTCTCGAAAAGTGTCTTGAATTAGCGGA